TTTTTTTTTTTTTTTTTTTCCTGGTATCAGGGATCGAACTTGCAACCTTTCACTTGTGAAGCAGTCGGTGGAACCACTGAGCTAAATCCCCAGCCCGGCCCATACTTCTTATGAGCAAACTTCCACAGTTCAGGGCAGTCTCACAAACAGATTCTCTCCACCGCAGCTCCTCTCTGATAGGTGAGTGAAGACAAATTTTCTCCTTAGATCTGGATCTCTTGTTGCTAAAAAATGGATCAGCAACAATTCATTGAGTAACGTTGTGACTAGGGCACTGCGCCACGGCCCTGAGGGAGATTCACAATTAACCCAGATTCTTCACCTTCATTAGGAAATAAGGAACCTCATTTGTCACAAACTAACACCAAGACTGAGTATAAAAATGCAAACCAACCTTGGGTCAATTTCTATTGTGAGGACCAGTAATCTATCTTTTAAATTCAGCTTAACAATGTGTTCAAAATTTTATACTAAGCCTTCAGTGTAAGAAGAGCTGGGGGAAAAAACAGTCCTGGGAGACCATGCTCGCCCTAGCTCAGCAGCAGAAATCTTTTTTTATTGCATTATTGAATGATGGAGGTTTTTGTGCCAATAAAGAAAAAGGTTGATTTCACCCAAATCAATCTGTTTTGTTTTGAGACACTGAGACATGGTATGTGTGGGAGTGGAGGGCAGGTTCTTCCTATGTTACCGAGGCTGGTCTTGAACTCCTGTACGCAAGTGACTGCCCTGACTCAGCCTCCTGAGCAGCTCAGACAACAGGTGCATGCTATAGTATTCAGCTTCCATCTTAAGTTTGTTAAGTTTGTTTAAAATCACCAGTTCACTGCCTTTCTGACTTACTGCTTCAAAAATTTCTTCTGGTCTGGGAGTGACTCAAAGCTGACAGCTCAGAAGACCAGATAGAGATAATGATCTGGCTAGAATAATACCACACGGGTGAACAATTTGAGATGGGAACAAAGGCCATACTGAAACATCAGTACTTAATGCATAATTGACCCTTCATGAATGTCATGGAATATTTATTTGATTGTGTTATACATTAAAGTGATATTACAATATATATCTTACGGTGCACACGATCACTTTATATACTACAAATTAAGACACATACACACACCCGTGACCACTTAAGTTACCATCTTCTATAGAAAGTCCTGTTATAAAAGAGTTAGCACAGTGTTTGACACAGGATAGAACCTTCCTAAGTATTTGTCTTCATGGTCTATTTTATTGATGGAGGAAAAAGATCCTCTTTTAATGTATGTAACTCTTCTGGTCTCATTTGCTGGGTTGCTCATCACAGTTTCACCAGAAGGCTGGTCATCTTTCCCCTTGTACCAGAAATGCCAAATGTTCAGATGCTTGAACTTGATCTGATGCCTAGGTTCAGAGATAAGGGATCCCAAATTCAAATTTCTACAGGGCCCAGGGAGATTGCAAAATAAATCAGGACAGAGGGGAACTTGGGAAAAAAAGTGGAGCCTGTGGTGGTTTTAAGAATAAAAGTTCTACCTAGGATACTCTAAATTGTCAGGGTTTTTATTTGCTTATTTGTCTTATGTGTTTCACTAAACAAAGCAGAATTATCCACAAGGCCCTCTTGCCCCTAAACTTTATGCCTTTATAATCCTGAAATAGTTGCAGTTTTCTGAGAGAGCCCCTGATGTCTTCTTTGGGTCCTTACCCAGGCAATACTCTCAGCAGACACCCTCCCTCCTCCTACCCTGCTGCTGGACCAACTCTTCCAAGATGCATCTTAGCTGCCTCTTGCTTCAGGGACCTCTTTGATTTTCAAGGCAGAGAAGGGACCTCCACCTGATAGTCCTAAGCTACTATTATGGCTTGTACCTAGATGTTCCCCCCAAAGCCTCATGCAGTCATACGTGAGGCTTTTCAGAGGTGGCTGGATCTAAAGTGTGTGGTGCTGGAATCAAGAGCATGTAATTGCTAAATCAGTCCACTGATTGGTTTGGCATAGTGCAGGTAAAGGGTGAGATAATAGGAAGGCCCACCCTTGGTGTGGGTGCTACCTGCCTGAAGGATGGATAGCCTGGATAGAACACAAGGGACAGAAAAGAGGGCTGCTGCGGCCACTTGCTGCCTTCTGCCTGCCATGAACTATTTCTGCTCTGTGATGCACCACTACCATGACACCCAGCTGTGGATCCAGCCAACCATGGACTGAAACCTCTACACACTGTGAGCCAAATAAACCTTTCTTCTTGTCATTCTGGGTGTCAGATATTTTGTCTCAGCAACGAGAAAACTAAAAGACAGCTACTCGATGTGAAACTCCTATTTGGGGTTCTATTAATAGCATTTTTTCATCGTTCTTGCATCTATCCCCTGTTATATCACAAGATTCTTGAAGAAAGAAGATTTACCCGGTTGGATATAATATTTGACATGGAGCAAGTGCCCACTAAATGACTGATTGCACGTCTGCCTGCAGGCATGAACAAGTGAATAGATGAGGGTACACTCATCCTGTAGTGTGATCCCCTCCTACCTACAGGCATAGATAAAGTAAGAACAGTAAAAGTTGAGTAATGAGCAAGCTCTCATTGAGTAAGTTGAATCAGCCCTCAATGAGTAAGCTGAATAATGAGTAAGTTGAATAGTAAGACTCCGTGGTTCGTCTAGAAATACAACCAACAACAGTGAACAGGGAATCAGGAAATGTCCCTTGGAAGAGTGGATTGAGTCAGAAAGAGCAAAGCAACAGGATAGAAGTGTTTGCTCCTGAAAGAAGCCAGTACTCATACCCAAAATGCGTCAAGAATGCTGAATCACTACCGGACGACGAGAACGTGCCAATCGTGTCCTAGAAACCAAAGTCCCACTTTGGAAAAGTCGTGGTTCCTTCTGGCTGTTTCAGTTGCCATGTCCATTATTTCCTAGCTGGAATGACCATTCTCATACATTTAGAGAAAGGAGCAGGCTTCCAACATCAGCTTGAAAGAAGCAAGCAAACGATTACTTAATAGCAGCGAACAACCACTTACGTGGGAAAGGATGGGAAGTAACAAGAGCTGTCAACCCCAGCTTTCTCCTCAGCAAAGATGACCTGGATACATTGCCAAAAAAATATTAGACAAGAAATGACCTAGCCAGGGATTTAGCTCAGTGGTTCAGCAGCCTGCCTCACAAGCACAAGGTCCCAAGTTCAATCCCGGGTACAAAAAAATAAAACAAAACAACAACAAAAACACCACCTTCCAAAAAAAAAAAAAAAAAGAAACAACCTCAGTTTGAGTCCATCTGTTTCTATCTGTTCACATAAGTTGTGCCCCCACCATCTATAACTTGTGCCAAAAAATACTATTCTAGGGCTTTTTCATTCAATTTACCCAGGCCAGAAGCAGCCCAAAAACTTATTTTTAAACAGAGACAAGTTGTCAAGGTAATTAAACTTCTGTTTTGGCTTAGATGATGCTTTATTTTCAAATAAATAGTAAGAGGTACTTTCATTTTCTATTTCCTCGTCTGGTTTTTTAAAAGGTTGCCTTTTCATCTGAAACTTTGAAGTCAGGGTGCAAGCCCTTCCTTCTGCCCCAGGCCTATTTTTGAGTTGACCCCACCAGAAAAACTGGAGGATGAGGAAGGCGTTCAGTGAAGCAGACACTAGGTTTCATCAATTTGTTGTATCATGAAGTTAACTGGAAACTTTACCTACCCTTTTACCTCAGTTGCTGAGCTGGCTGAGTTAGAAGGTGGCACAAGATTGTTGTTCGGAGGAATTATCACTAGTTCTTAGGCTCACAGGAGACAATCCCTCTCTCCAGCCTTCCTACTGTTGCTCATGACAAATTTCTAGTCAAGAGGGATCCAGAGTAAAGATATAAAGACAGAGATCAGTGGAATAAAATAGAAAGTCCAGTAATAGACTTCTGCAGACATCACCATTTGATCTTTGACAAAGTATCAATACAGTTCGGTGGAGAAAAGATCTTTTTTTCAACTAATGGTATTGGGACAGTTGACTCTCCATGATCATCCACAGGAAAAGAAGTAAACTTTGTTATAAAGCTCACATCTTGCATAACAATCAAACTAAATCCTAGATCCCCATGAAAAGTGTAAGACTACAAATGTACAATAAATCTTCATGACCTAGAATTAGGCTGAGTCCTTAGAAAGCAAATCAAACAGATAATCCATAAAAGGAAAGAAATTGATAAATGGGACTTCATCAAAACAACTGTGTTCTTCCAAAGATACTGTTACGGGAATGAGGAGACCACACAGACCAAAGAATATGTTTGAAAACTACATATGAAAGATTTGTCTCCAAAGTATGAAAAGAAGTCTCCAACTCAACAAGAAGGAAAGAAATAACACATTTAACAATGGCTGAAGGACCTGAACAGACTGTTCCCCAAAAAAGACAGAAGGATGAAAACCACATGAAGTGGTGATTAACATTGTTGGACATTAGGAAAATGTAAATTAAAAAGACTGTAAGATCCTACAAACTTATTTGTACCTACAAACTTATTTGAATGGTTAAAATAAATAATACTGACAATACCAAGTGCTGATAAATATATGGAGAAACTGGAATTCCCACGTATCTCTCATGAGAGTGCAAAATAGTATAACCACTCTAGAGAATGGTTTGGTAATTTTGTATGAAATTAAATATAAACCTATCATACAATCCCAAACAGGCCCACTCCTAAATATGCACCCTGAGAAAAATGACAATTTGGTTTACACAAA